GCACGTAGGGCATTTTAATTGAATTTTCGTTATCGGAGCGCGCATAGAATTTCAATATGAATGATTGACTAACAGACAAACTGACGGCCGGACATTGCGTAGAGCAGTGCGGCGTCTAGTCGGAGGAATGATGGCACAAACTTTGTCAGTTGTGACGAACGCACAATAAATATGCAAAATGCGAACGTTTGAGATAGTCCACAAAATGCATGAAATACTTGGCTCTCCTGCCCCTCCCCCGCAGAGGACACGCGGCTTGAGTTGCCACAAAATTCTCACACGCCCGCAATGATGTGACGGCTGACAGACAGCGTCCTGACATGTGATTGATATGCAGAGTGCGACACTTTGCTTCTGATTGTCTTCTGTGCGTAGAGTGTGTGTGTGTGCGTGTGTGTGTGTGTGCAACAGGATGTAACAAAGGCGCTTGATATAATAAACAAAGAGATATCCTGTAATCAGCACTGCAAAGTGTTTCGTTTCACTAAGGCAACTAAACAATGACAAATTTATCATTAATATGAAATAGCTTTATGAAGACCTTAAGAGATTTACTGGGACTTAGAGCCATATATTGAAGAGGAGAAAATATATGAAATGCAGATCTAATTTGTTGAACCAATTTGTGGTTTCCCTTATCAGAGCTGTTAAGCCTGCTATAAAATTCATTCAATATCTTAATGAAATGCAAGATCTTTCGTTAGTTAGAGACAGCTTGGTGTAGTTAGATATGCGATAGCCAAGCTAAATATTTCTACATAGAGTTATATGTAAGCACGCCCCTTTAGCTCACATAGGGTACTCCAAGCAGCGTGGCTCTTGAGTAAGGATCAAAGCTAGGTTTCTTAAACTCGCGCACATAATAGCTGTGCTTAAAGTTCCATTGAAGACCGTACTCGATGAAAGCAAGTACTTGGTCACACATCAAAAGACGCGACATTAACTACTTGATAACACTCGAGATACTACACTGCCTGTCTCCCTCTCGCTCTCTCTGGCTTCCTTTCGCGCTCTGGCCCACGCTCTGTCTGCGTGTTTCACGCCTGGGCACGAAGTGTGACGCTGATATTTAAATTTATGCAAAAATTATGTAGGCAAACTGGATGTAAGTGCCTGCCTACTAACGGCATCAATTAGACACATTATTCGGCTTGGGGCTGGCTTGATTCGATTTAAACAGATTGGCACGAAGCACGAGGCGCTCGCGATTCTCGATTCCGGGAGGTGTTAATTGGTAAACTCGCTTTATATGCCAATTGTAAATATGTTGGCAACCGTTTGGCTGGCATTAGCGCTAGATAACACGAGCAATCGGCTCTCATGCTCTCTCTCTCTGTATATATATATATATATATATATATCTCTTTCTCTGTCTGCCTGCTCATCACGTATGAGCGTAAACTAAATGTGTCAATAGTTGTATTATATTATATATTAGTTTATGAATTGTTCAAATAGACGCTCGACGGCTTACGCTGCGTATGCGTAACTTTATTGACTCCGGCCGGTCACACGCGTCGTATGCGTGACGCAGCAGCAGTCAGCTGTCAGCTGTTAGTTGTCAGCCGACACAGATTGTTTAGTGTATCTCTTTTTCTTTTTATTTGTTGTTGGCCTAAACGACATCAATTTCTGTCAAATATGCAAAATTGCAATGCAAATATATTTCAGCTTTGCTTTGTTTTCAGCACTCGCCCGCAAACTTTGTTCGAGTGTGCGACGAGAGTCTCAGCTTGATTTCCAATGGGTCCTCTGGCCAGGCAAACGAGTGTCCATGTGAGTGGCATATGCAAGTGCATAAAATATGCAAAACTTCAGTTTGCCAACAACTCGTTAGCTCTATATGTACATCTACATCTATGGCATATAGTTATCATAGCCATATACCTATATAATATATACTACACATATCTAGAATTGATGGCTTGCTGCAGTTGGCGAATCGTCAGCAAATGTTTTGGTGAACTTTTGCAGAGGTTGGCTAGCGTGGAGCACGAATCCGTTTAGTCCTTTTGTGAAATGTTTTATGTCAGTGACATTTTGGCAATTTATTTGGCTCGTTCAGTCTGCCAGGCACAAATTGCTTTGATGTTTGGCAATGGCTCAAACAAATTTGGACAGGCAGCCAGCTCGTTCTAGCTAGCTGTTTTCCTTCGCGAGTTTTTCACTCTGTACAGCCACAGCTCTTGGCTTAACGAGTGTGTGCACTGCGCTGCCTGAATATGTACATGTACATGCACATGTACATGCACATGTACATGTAGGTGTGGGCGTGTGTAGCTATTAACACATCAGTGTTCAAATTTAACGAGCAGTTCGCCCGAATGCAAACGGCGCCATAAAAGCCAAGGGTAGGCGGCCGGAACTTGTAAAATATCCGGCGTGTGCAGCCGAAACGGAAAGACGGAGTCAAGCCTGTGGTCTGGCGCTTGCCACGGGATTGCAGGCAACTCCTGCTACACTGACTGCTTTCAGTCTGTGTCTCATTTTCTGTTTTCTTTTTTACTTTTTTTTTTCAAGCTTTTTCTTTTTATTTGCCATCGAAGAAATATAATGAAAGCGTTGCCGCCGCTCGCCTTGTCGCCTTTACTTCCGTTTTGGCATTTCGCTTTCGGCTTAATTTACCTCTTAAGTGCAACATTTTGGAATTTTATTTTGCTGCTGTCTGTGCGCTCTCGCTCGTTCAGCCATTTTATAGATCCTTACTTACATGGATATACGAATATGAGAGCATGTGTGTGTGTGTGTGTGTGTATCGTAATGGACATTCCCTTCTTTATTTATTTTTAATACCCTTGTCGAGGGCATCATAATTTTGTACCGAAATGTGCAGAAGACGTTAGCCCATTTATAAAGTATATAGAGCATAAAGTCGTTGAGTCGATTCGATTATATAACTTACTGCAGAGCGCGTGAGATAGCATTTGGCTAGATTATAAATTGAAGATGTGCATTGAGTGCTTCAGCTAGATCTTAAGTTGTGCATGGCATTTTTTTGTATAAAAGTTTTATTTTGGGTTTCATTTCGACAAGAAAAGAAAATTGACCAGAATCGAAAATGATTTTTGTTTAATAAGTTTTTAGATAGAGATTGAGAGATAAAAATCTCCATTTATTTTATCTTAAATATGATTTAGTATTCTTGATCATTAATTTAGCTTTTTAACAAATCTCCTGAGCTCATCTGAGAATTTCTATTGGACTTCACTTCTTCTGTCAGCTTTCCTAACTAAGATGCTTAACTGAAAGAGTATTATGCCATCTTCGTGCTACTCCATCTGCTGCATCACGTACAGCATCTGCAATGTGTGAAGCGAATGTTGCCCCATGGGCTGCCAACAGCTGCTGCTCCGCTTCAGCTTCAGCTTCAGTTCGTTCAGTTTGTTGCATGAGCTACGTGTTTGTCGTATTCAAAGCGAGTGGCATACCAAATATCTGTAGCCATCTATGTACATGTGTATGTGCGCATATGTACATCTACGTATGTGCGTGTGTGTACGGACAGTGTTGACTTTTATTGACTGCCAGCTGGAATGTTGCACAAATAAACGAGTGATGTTGACATTGCCAGCAAATACCTGAAACGCTGTCCAATCGCTTTGGGCAGCATTCGAGAAATGGATTTAATTGAATGTGAAAATATATATATTTTTTTTTTAAATTTCAAGTGCGAAGCGTTTGACATATTGTCAAATGATTTTTGCGCAAAGCAAATTTCAATTGCACAAAAAACAAACCCAAAATAGAAAGAAAAGGATTTAACTAACTGAATTGCGGCTGTGTAAGGTTTTAAATATCAATGGAGACTTCAGCTGAACATTTTGTCAAAGCAAATGAAAAGCTTGGCAGCAACGTGTCAGCTTACCTCACAGAAAGCAACAACAACAACAATAAGAAATTTCAATTCAAAAGTGAAAATTTTCTTGGGCGAACAGCTGCTCGAGCTTAACTAGCAAATATCAAATGGCTTTTCAAAGAAATGAAAGCCGAAGCCGTATACAATGCCGTCCCCGTTTGCCGTTCCCGTGAACCGTTAGCTGTCCGGCGGAGCTATTGGGTCCACAAAGCATCCATCAGCAGCTGCAGCTACTCAGGTGAACTGTAGACTTACTTATAGCAAACAGTTATTACATTCTTATAGCATTTTTGTTATTGCTCAATGCAAACACAGTGGGTGGGGCTTTCGGACAATCAGCATGCATATACATTGTATATACATATACATATTCGTATATGCGCTGCAGGGCCAGGAGCCAGCTCCTTTTTGATGGGAGCTCGTGGCAACATCCTGCTGTAACTGTATACCATCAGTGTAGCATTATAGCCAAGAATAGAAACTAAGCTGAGCATCATCCGCCATGTAAGCGCTGTAGCATAAATATTCAGCTGAACTGTGCAACTGCCACGCAGTCGTAATTTAATACAAACTTGTGCTGAACGCTGACTGAATTTAAATTCTATTTCTAGTTGCGCTCAGCAGCTGGCTGGCTGGCTGGCCTTAAATTTAATACCCCCATCCAGAGATGTTAGCATTAAACGTTATTCATATTATCCCCAACGTTGCCGACGCATCGCTTTAATAAATGACTCGGCGGCGTTTGGCATATGAATAAAGTGAGCAAGAGAAATATGCTAATTGACTGCAATTAAGTCAAGACTCTTCTGCGACTCAATTAACTCGACTGCAAATGAATGTTAACCAGCCAGCGTTTGAGTGCGGCCAAAGGCATTTTGGACAAAAGTGAATTTAATTATGGCCATCTTCTCAGCACACAATGAGTGCGCCATAAAGCCAAAAGAGATTTTTATGCATGCACAGATCTCTGTGGTTGCTTTCAAGTGTTTCTCTCTCTCTCTCTCTCTCTCTCTCTTTCTCTCTGCTCTTTGTGTATTTAAATACATACAACTTGTCCAGCCTTAACTCAAATTAGTTTCTAACTTTGGCTCGTATCGCTTGGTGGATAATGAATAACGATGTTTTTTCTTTACTTTTCTTTCAGATTAGGATCTCAAATTGGGTAAGTCGTAATATGTTTTTATTTATATTAATCGAACTGAACACATCAACTCTGATTATAATCGATAGAAAGTTTTTCTAGGGTATACTGTAAAAGGGTATATTGCATGTGATAAGGCAAGGCTATTTATCGATAAATATCGATTGCTCTAGCTAGTTATTATGATGGAAATATTATTAAACTATCTACATTTATTATATACGTAGCTTAAAGGCTTTATATTTCTATCAGCTTCTTTAAGTTGGCTTGCTAAATACTAGAAAATATCTTTGCTAGGATAATATTGTCTGGGAAGCTTGTCTAAAGAAAACCTTCATCGATATCAAATCTATTAAATAAAGTACATATATCTGTCTATTGCACCCAGACTATGAATTGTTATTATAGTTCTACCCAGGTCATATCGATAAATATCGATGTCTATATATCTTCACACATCATATTTAGTAGATGATAACATATGTGGTTGTTCATAAATAAGGAATACTATGTTTCTTGTTTCTCAAATAGATTTATATTGGTAAACTTAAAAGTAATATCGATAAATATCGATTTCCACACTTGTGAAAGTTGACTACTTTGAGTAACCATATATGCATCCATAGTTAGTATGAAAATATCAGAACGAGCTTTGAGTACTGTCTGCATCAAGTTCGCAACTTCTAGGATATCTCCTAGTCGTGCACTGCCCACCACTGCGCAGACTAACAAGTTCTACGTGTAGTGAAGTTGTCCTTGTGTCGCTGGCGCAGGTACGCGTTGAGTTTAATTAGGTGAAATTAATGTCATTATAATTAAGCGACTGTCACGTTCGCCTTATTGTAATTCTAATTAATGGTAACAAGCTGGCGCGCTACGGGCGCGTTTTCCACTGGCAACTAACGTGGCCAAGACCTGGCCATGGAACTTATCAACGCTTGGGCGGGACCTCTTTGAAGTCTCTGGGGGGCAGGTGGATGGCAACAACTTGTTTTTCCCTTTTCCTATTTTTTTTTTGGGTGTAATTTATTTTTGACCCACATAGGTGCGTGTCCTTTGATAGGGATAAGGACAACAGTGCTGGCGGACAAAGGGGCAGGTGCTCTATAGAGCCAATGGCAATGTTGTTGAAACGATTCGAACCTGAATGATGCATATCCACTTGACTTGATTGAAATCGTAAAAGAAACATCAACAACATTTTCCACAGCGCTTGTTGAGGTTTTTCCTTTCACAATGCTGTTGTTGTGGCTCGTTTAACGCGTCGTAAGAGCCGAAACTGCTAGCATAAAAGTAAACGTCGCAAGGCAAATGTGGGGCGCTGTCATACATCAATCATGTACGTCACACACACACAGCACAAAGCACACACACACACACACCCATTCTCTGCATGCATGCGTAAATAGTTGCTCAAAGAGCTCGCTATGCGCTCATATTCATACGCACTGTTGCCGCCCAATATTGTTGCCAGGCCAGCACAGACCTCGTGTGTGTGTGTGTGTGTGTGTGTGTGCAAACGATTTTCATAAATGAAATTGATGTACGTAAAAATTGTTGCGCTGCTTTGCGGCCAAAGAGCATTAAGTTGCTGGCAGTTAATGCGCTATGGGAGCAACGCCACGCCCAGCGCAGCGCAGGGATGATAAACGCGCATTTGTCGCATGATAAATAGCAAGCAGGCAAACAAATAAACTGGCAAATAGAGCGAAGGTAGTCGGGATTCGGCTGGGTAGCATGGGGAACCGGTCAAATGACGTACTATACTGACTGCTTACTACTCAGAGAAGTCTTGGCCAAATAGCTGCCCGTTTAACATGCGTAGCTGGCAGCCGCTAGGGCCGCTTAGGCCATGGGTCAAATGTGCAATTACGCATGGCAGCCAATTAACTGCTATATATTAATTTATATATGTATATGTATGCATGTATATGAGCATATAATTGTGGCTATTTGCGCCTGACTGATTTACGTTAATAGGCCAACACAATTAACTGGCCAAACGAGAATTGGCCAAAGCGAATTGCATTGACGCGCTCAAAACTCAGCGGGCGTCTCCGATTGCTAACAAGAAATAAAATGAGCACGGCTGGGATTATTTGCACGAGTCCCGCTGGCGACGATTCCACGATTCCACGATTTTGCCAGCTAACTGCCATAATAATCTTTGGCATTTACTCAGCTATTAATCTCAATGAAAATTAATGTTGGAATGTTTAATAAAATTACTGCGAGCCCAGTTGGATTTTTGCTTGCATTTGTTTTTTTTTTTTTTTTGTTTTTTGCCTTTCGTTTTGACTTTTACTTTTGTTTTTGTTCGGGGGGCTTTCTTTTTCCGCCTGGGGGCAATCATTCGCTCGGCCTGAATAAGTTGGCAACATTTTGCGGTCTTTTTGGCTAAGCTGTTGCGCTTCGCTTTTATTGCCAGAGATCAAATATAACTTTGTCAACTTAAGAGCCTTGTATGCGATGCGAATGTACAAATACGTTGAATGCAAATAACATTGCAAGCAAATAAAATATATGTATGTGTGTGTATATACTTTTTGTTTCATAAATATTTGCACAGCTAAATAAAATTTGATGAAATTGTGATTTGGCTGCAAACTGATCTAGCAGGGGAATAAATTATATTAAGCTGTTGCTCTTGTCGGCTCTTCTTTGAAGTTGTATATGGGAAAGGTCTTTTAGGTAATGGAAAGGTCCTTTACTTCTGTCATGTATAAAGCCTTTGACATTAATTACGTTGCCAGGGATACATTTGTATCCCAGATTCCGCTTCCCATTTCTCACTCCAACTTGTTGTCCTTTTTTCAACTTCTTAATATATAAACATATTCACTCTATATACATATATACTAATTACTGAGACCTATCTTAATTTATCTATTTCAATTTTAATATACGTGTCAAATATTTTTAAATAATATATTGTTAAACAAATGTCAAATATTGCACATTTTGCTGCAATGACTTAATAAACGATTTCACATACATATATATATTTATTCAAAATATATTAAACGACAATATTTGCTTAAATCAACATATTTGCATGCATATTCTGTTATTTTTGTTTGTTTTTGTTGTTGCATTTCACTTGCAATTATTTGATTTCAATTTCATGTATTTTGCGGCATTTAAATTTTTGCTTAAATGCGGGATTGCCACAGATATGCAACAGTTTTGCTGTGCACTATCAAAGTCTAGACTCTGGTCTCTGCTGCCCGAGCAAAACATTTTTGGCATGCATGCAAAACTAGAAATATACAAAAAAAGATATGTATATATATATATACAAATATATGCAGATAAAATCTGAATAGCTGGCAAGCCAAAGCTGGCTTCTGGCTCAAGTTAGCTCGGCTTAAGGCAACTTTGGCAGCAGTCGTAACTCGAGCGCCTGAGAGTATGCTATAAAAAAATGCGTCTCGTATACAATATACCCAGCTAAACTCCTGATTGGCTACGTTTCTGCGTGTCACATAAATCACAGCTGCCAATGAACGTGTTTGTAGCTAGTTTTTTTTCTTCTTCTTCCTCTTCTTCTTTTTATTCGTTGCGGTTTTTGTGTGACTTTTTGTCTGCTCAGATTGAATATCATTGGGAGACACGCGTGACATTAATGAGTTTTAGATGCGGCAGCTGCGACACTTGGACCACGTATAAGAGCCGAATTTAATTAATTAATTTGCTAGCTATGAGTGTGTGTGTGTGTGTGTATTTTTTTGAGTCTCTTTATTTGTCAGCATGTAAATGTATTTGCATTCCTTAGGGCTTAGCACCTGTGGGGCGCTCCGCATATTGGCTTGGGTTGTTAAGCTGCGACACATGTGTCGCTATCTCTTTGTGTGCGTGTGTGTGTGTGTGTGGTTCATAACTTCAACAATCACATGAATAGCACAAGCAACGAGCACACAGCAGCTGTTGACTCTTGAATGGCAACAAAGCAAAAAGAAATGGCTTTCAAATATTCAGTGACATGCTCGCAAATGCGAATATTGTTGTTATTTAAGTGTAGCACTGAAAGCACTTTCAATCAATTTGCAGCTCTGATGGGAATTGTTGTTGCCCATATATATACTGTTTTCATAACCAATCAGTACAATATGTATTCAGTTATTTAATCCACATAAATATCGTTATTAATTTGCCAATCGAAAGAGCTTTAAAATATCCATTCCAAATGAATGACGGCAATTCGAGTGGCTCAGCCCCGCAACGGAAGGTAATAAAAAAGTTCCATTAAACGTGAGTCCACAAAAGTTAATGGCAAGCAGCTTATCTGACAACACATATAAGTCTATATAATTTCATATAAGTAACTTGCAACACCCCTCCTCGCGCCATCTCCCACACTCAGCAACCCATCAGCCTCCCCGGTCTGGTCGTTGCTTTAGTCGCTTGTTTGTTTGCATAAAGTTTGCAGTGTAAACAGTTTAATACCCTTATAGTAGATGGTGCGAAGTAATTTACATGAGCTGCCAAACACATTAAAAGCATTTCAGCGACAATTTACAGCCATTATATGGCAAAGCGGCAAATCGATAGCTCGAAGCTCGTTCGGCTTTATTGCGTGAGCTGCTTTCGACAATTCATTTTCCACTTGACATTCGACAAGCACCCAAAGTTGGCACCAGGAAGTGCACTTGAACAGCTCCAGACTTGCCTTTTCATCTCTGTCTGTGCAAATAGTGCAGTAAGCTAATCGGATAAAACAGTCAACAGTCAACTGTCGACAGTTAGACGGACGGCAGACAGACAGGGCAAGCCGAAATGTCTGTTTCAAATGCCCAAAAACGAGAATTGTCCGACAAATGTGGACTCGCAGTTCTTTAATTAATGAAAAGCGGCACAAAATTCAACGAGCCCAGAGGCAAAAGTTTTCCGTATTTTGTTCTTCGCTTTTCGAGCATTTAGCACAATTTTCGGCCTGGGCCGCCTGCCGTAAGTAGCTCAGGTGTAAAAAGCTTTTAAAACTTTCCAGCTTGACCTGCTGCCGGAGTGAGTTGCTTCGCCGA